CGCCCGAGTTGCAGCTGGCTGAGGTGAAGCAGGGGGAAGCACCTTGAATTCCTTGGTTAATTGCTTGGAAACAGTCTTTCCTCTTGAAAATGCTCTTGTTGTCAGCTGGGGATGAGCTGACAAAAGCCAAGCTCATCCAGGCTGGAGCAACACCTTGTCCTGGTCTTAGCAGCCTCTGAACTGGGTTACGAAATGGACCATCTGTGCCTTATTGCAAGCGTAGCTTAAACCTAAAACAGCCTCATGCCTTCACTTGTTCCTTTCCTTATCCCAGATCAAACTCTTGCAGGTCTGCAGGCACGTATTTAGGTGCTTAGCCTCCAGCTGCCAGACCGGCTCCCTGGCTTTTTATTCCTCATCTCCCCCCACCTCTGTCTATTCTCTTTGCTCCTTCTGGCAGCAGAGGAGTTGTCCTCCATGTCATGCCTTCACATTGTAGTGTTAAACCCAGGTGTCTCCTTCCCTTGTCCCCAGGGTTCCTGCCAGTGTCCGGATCCTCTCCTCGCTGTTTGTCATGCTGGCTGTGTTCCTGGTGATCACGGTGCTGGTGAAGGTGGACACCTCTGCCTGGACCACTGCGTTCTTTGCCCTCACCATTGCCTGTGTGGCTGTCGTCAGCAGTGCCTCGACCATCTTCAGCAGCAGCATCTTCGGCGTCAGCAGCTGCTTCCCCATGCGGAACCTGCAGGCACTGCTCTCAGGTCAGTGCTGGTTGCTCTATCACCACGTGGGTGGTGTTCTCCCATGTCCCCACAGAGCTGTCCCTCTGGGCTGGTGCTCTCAGACTGTCCCTGCTTGGCTCTGTGCTTTGCTCTCTCTCCTGCCTCTGGGGTTTGTCACATGGGGTTTGTTTCATAAACATAACTTTGCCTTCCTGATAAAGGGAAGTGGTTGAAAGAGAAACAAACTGAGTCACATGAGGCTTGGTTTCTGTAAATACCCATAAACTGACCCTGGACATTTGCTGTATGCAGGGAAAAGGGAGGAAGGAGATGACATCCCTCTGCTCTGCTGTTCACAGCAAAGATCTTCAGCTTTGCCTTGTCTCCTCCTTTCTCCTCAGCATTTCCCTGCATTTCCATGAGTGATGAGAGGCAGGTTGGGCACTGTGAGTGATGAGCTCCCTGGAGCTTTGATAACATTATAAATGTGCTGTGGAATGGTTGACAAACCAAGAGGAGAAGGGGAGAAAATCAGGATGGAGAAGTCTTTCCTGGGGCCAAGACAGGAGTGTTTTAATGAGTTTATCCCAGAGGGA